CCATTCTAATTTCCAGTTAGCTGTTGGGGGGTGGTTGCACTTATTGTTAGCATTTATTCCTTGTAGTGAAGTGTTTTCTGTCATAATTTTGGAGTTGCTGGGTGGCGCCTGTGGCTCAGTGGGTAGGGCACCAGCCCCATATACCGAGGGTGGCGGGTTCAAACCCCGACCGGCCAAATTGCAACCAAAAAAATAGCCAGGCATTGTGGCAGGTGCCTGTAGTTCCAGCTACTCTGGAGGCTGAGGCAAGAGAATCGCCGAAGCTGAGTTGGAAGAGGGCGATAAAGTGGGACTCTGTCTCTAAAAGAATAAAAAAAATTGGAGTTGCTGCTTATTTTACTACTTGTATTTTGTTTTAATCTTTCATTTTCTTTCTCCCCTAACTGTAATTGTATCTCAACTACAGTTCTGTCTTCAGAACTGAAATTGATTACTTCCTTGAGTGGTTTCTGAGAAACACTTCTTAAAAATGTCTCTTAGAAAAAGTAAGAAAACTATTCTTACTTATTCCTGTATTCCTAGCACTTTGGGAGGCCAAAGTAGGAGGACTGCTTGAGGCCAGGAGTTAGAAACCAGCCTGAGCAAGAATGATACTCCATCTCTCTAAAAATTGAAAAATTAGCCAAGCATGGTGTGGGTGCCAGTAGTCCCAGCTATGTGGGAGGCTGAGGCAAGAGGATTGTTTGAAGACAGGAGTTTGAGGTTGCAGTAAGCTACGATGACACCACCGCACACTAGCTCAGATGACAGAGTGAGACCTTGATTCAAAAAAAAAAGGAAAATTAAAACCAAGAATTGTATTGAGTCTGGTGGGAAGGACAGATGGTGTGATAAAACAAGTAAATACCTATAGTTTAGCAACAGAAAGGAAAGGAGGAAGTCAGGGAAAGAAAAGGAGGAACAGGGAGGCAGGAAGGAGGGAGAGAGAGGAATAGGAAGAAAAGAAAAGGAAAGAAAAAGGGAACCCATGCACTAAGTGTACTAGTGTACTGTTTCCATCTGTCCACCAGAGGGCGGTATGTTAGCAGATGGTAATAAAGGCCAGGCTAAAAGATTTTCTGTCTACAGTTGTCATTGCTTTTAAAAATGGAATATATATTTTAAAAAATGGAATATAGCATTTATAATATTACAATATAACAATTTTTTTAATATATAGATATGGAAAATTATTAGTTTCTAAAAAGTTTTAAATGTATATAAGAATGCATGATAGCAGGCTCCTTAGTGCATGTAAAAGTCTAACAATTGTATTTTATTTGTTTATTACTTATTTGGATTTGCTCACTATGTACAAAAATACTTTTTCTTTAGAATACCTGGCTCGGCCCCTGTGGCTCAAGTGGATAAGGCGCCAGCTACATACACCTGAGCTGGTGGGTTCAAACAGCCCAGGCCCACCAAACAACAATGATGGCTGCAACCAAAAGATAGCCAGGAGTTATGGCGGGCGCCTGTAGTTCCAGCTATTTGGGAGGCGGCGGCAGGAGAATCAATTGAGCCCAGGAGTTGGAGGTTGCTGTGAGCTGTGATGACAGGCACTCTACCCAGAGCGACAGCTTGATGCTCTGTCTCAAAAAAAAAAAAAAAAAAAAAAAACTTAAATAATCGTTTTTTTTAGTTCTGAAAACAGGACTATAGGGTGGCCCCCGTGGCTCAAAAGGATAGGGCACTGGCCCCATATGCCATAGGTGGAGGGTTCAAACCCAACCCCGGCCAAAAAAAAAAAAAGAAAAGAAAAGAAAACAGGACTGTAGTTGAGCTACAATTATAGTCAGGAGTTTAGTTTAGTTATAATTACATTTTGGGTAGAAAGAAAATAAAGAATACTTAAATAGGGAACTTAAACGATCATACTTGTTTAATGAGCTGATTGAATAAGTTTACTCTCAAAGCACCTTGGTTGGAAGAATATGTTTAAGAAAAATACTTAGAAAATTTTAACATTGAAAAACTTTTCAAGTTATTATAGGTAATGTTTTGTGGCCTTTTTATTGGCTGAGCCTGTTAAATGAGTTAGATTTTAATAATTATTATCACTTTTAGTAATCACATAGCTGGAAGATACAGTCTTCTCTTTCTTTCCAGGTAGATATATACTTAAATTTTCCAAGGAACCTTAGCTACCTATACTTTTCTGTAAAATCTCAAAGGAGGGTATTATGATCATAATATTAGAGGAAAAAACAAAAACCAAAGAGACAAACTAAAAAACAAAAAAGAAAGGAAAGAAAAGAAGCAAATAAAAGTAGGTATAGTAAGGAAGTACTTCATGCTTCTTGGAACATCCTAGTATTGAAAGTGAATTATTCCTGTTGAGACTTTAAGCTTGTGTCTCTTGAGAAAGTTAAGGATTTAACTTGAATTTGGCCAATTTTAGCTTATTTCCCAGCTGGAATGAGATATGTCTTGTTTCCTGATTCTGAATGCAAAATGAATATAGCCAAACAAATGTTAACATTATTGATTCCTGAAAAGTTTACCCCAGTTTAAAAATCCTTTAAGTATAATATAAATATTTAAATTTAACATAAAATAACTTTTTATCTTACTGAAGAACACTATGTCAATAAAATATAAAGTTAATCTTTATATATGTACATATATGTATTTTGAACAGCTGTCATATACCAGGAACATAATAAAATGGTGCACAAGGATTGGCCATAAGGTTAGGCTTCTAGCTAAGAATTCTTTCCTATATGATTTAATATCAATGTTTCTTTTGTCCTTTAGAGAAAGTTCTATTTGGGAGGTTATGGGAAATTTTAATTATCAGTAAGAGGCTGAGTTGGAATAAGATGATGTTCCTTGTTGATAAGTTACAAAGTAAATCTCATAAAGAATTTTTTTTGCAGTTTTTGGCTAGGGCTGGGTTTGAACCCGTCACCTCTGGTATATGGGGCCAGCACCCTACTCCTTGAGCCACAGGCGCCGCCCAAGAATTTTTAATTACAATACAAGATGAGACGTGGCAGGTTCCATGGTGAGTGTAAATAAATTCATGTAGCAAGGAAAATGAGGCTATATAATATATTATTATTACACTTTGATTATTCTCATGTAGATTGTTATTCATAGTTGACAAATATGCTGAAAGGCTTAATTAGTATTTAAAGCATATTTAAGAATACCCAACTAAAGCATATGGTGGATAGACACAATTACTAAATAGAATATTTGTCATTTATATGTCACTTCATTTGAAGCTCTTAATTCATTGATTTCCTCAATGTATGATTTCCAGTTTATTTCAGGGGAAGTTGAGGAACAGGCAAATATTCATATGATAGAATATAATAAAAAGCTTCTCTTTATAGTGAGTGCCTAGTCATTATACAACATTTTTTAATGAAAAATTTCAGACTGGCACTGATAACTCAGTGGTTAGGGTACCAGCCACATATACTGGGACTGGCAGGTTTGAACCCAGCCCAGACCTGCTAAAAACAACAATGACAGCTACAACAAAAAAATAGATGGGTGTTGTAGCAGGTGCCTGTAATCCCAGCTACTTGAGAAGCTGAGGCAAGAGAATTGCTTGAGCCCAAGAGTTTAAGGTTGCTCTGGGCTGTGACACCATGGCACTCTACCGAGGGTGACATAGTGAGAATCTGTCTAAAAAAAAATTTTTTTTTTAAATATACAGAAAAGTTTAAAGAATCTAATACTTGTATATGTTCTCTTTCATTATGGATAACACGTTTAATTATATTTTGTCCAGGGCTAGAGTCCTGGAGGGTATAGTTATTACATCAATTGGACAGATATATATTTTATAAGCAAATTCATGTGAATATAAAAATGTCCTACTTGCGCCTTAGGAGTCTAGTAAGCTCCATAGTATCTTTCCTGCTTTGAAAAACATTGTGGAAGACACCATACTGTCTTGTAAAAATTTAAGATCCATGAAAAGAGTAGATGAAGCAGGAGAAAGAAAGGTCATTAAAATTTATAAGGAGCCTGATATGTGGTAGGGATAAGTATCCTTCCATATACTATCTTATTTGATACACATGAATGCCCTGTGAGGTTTCTTTATTCCCATTTTACACATAAGAAAACAGACTCAGCTAAATCAAGTAATTTGTCTATGGATGTGAATTCATTTTGCCTTTAAAGCTAAAGCTCTTTTCACTTCAGCTGGAGGTATCATTTTTAAAATCAAGAATAAGGGTCCATGTTGAGAGTATTGGAAAACACATACTATATGCGTATGTACCCTTCTCCTTCCCACGCACATTCACATTTTCACTGTGATTAATACACCTGTTAATAAAACGCCAGATTTAGAAGCAGGACATGGATTTGAGTCTTTCAGGTTCTTTATGTCCAGTTCTCCCTACTAGAAAAGGAGAGATCGGCCAGGAATGGTGCCTCATGCCAGCAATTCTAGCATTCTGGGAGGCTGAGGTGGGAGGCTTGCTTTCGGAGTTGGAGACCAGCCTGAGCAAGAGTGAGAACCCGTCTCTACAAAAAGAGAAAAAATTAACCGGCATTGTGGTGGGTGCCTCCCTTCAGCCACTGCGGGAGGCTAAGGCAGGAGGGATCACTTGAACCCAGGAGTTTGAGGTTGCTGTGAGTTATGATACAACGGCACTCTAACCTGGGGCAACAGTTAGACAGTGTCTCAAAACAAACCAAAAATAAGAAAATAGAAGTAATTACTGCCCCTTTTCACTCTAAAGGACTGATGTGATAATTATGGAGTTAACATGAGCTAGCAGTCAGAAACTACGACTCCCAAAATGCTCAGCGATAGAGGCTGACGCCAATCCAGGACACAAATCCAGCTTTAGGGCAAAGGTGACCCCGCTGGGTCCCAGGCAAAATAGGGCGCAGCCAGTCCTCACCTCTTTTCCGATGCATCCAGGGATTGTAGTTCCCTTAGCGCCACGAACTGCCCTTAGGGCAGGCCATCTACTACATGTCCCGTGACGACCTGAGGCCCGGGCAGCGCCTGCGCATAGAAGTAAAGGGAGCGTGTGGGCGGTACTAGTAGCTGGAGGAGTAAAGATGGCGGTGAGGGGGTCTCCGCCTTCTGCTCCCGGCTGAAGTGCTTTGAGGGAGGTAGCAGCGGTTACCAGAGCCGCAACAGCAATCTAGTTGTGGTAGTTTCGGCAGCAACGGCCAAGGCCAGAGCAATGGCGGAGCTGGAGCACCTGGGAGGGAAGCGGGCAGAGTCGGCGCGAATGCGGCGGGCAGAGCAGCTTCGGCGCTGGCGGGGCTCGCTGACAGAGCAGGAGTCCGCGGAGCGACGAGGCGCGGGGCGGCAGCCGCTGACGAGGCGTGGGAGCCCCAGGGTGCGCTTCGAGGATGGTGCTGTCTTCCTAGCTGCCTGCTCTAGCGGGGACACGGACGAGGTAAAAAAGCTTCTGGCGAGAGGTGCCGACATAAACACGGTCAACGTGGACGGCTTGACAGCCCTTCACCAGGTAACTTCCGTCTCCGTTTTATAGGCGTCCAATCTCCCTATGCATGAGCCTGTGACCCTGTGAATCACTCCATGGAGAGTATTAGTGTCACCTCCGAGCTCTCTTGTATGGACACTGTCCCTGTGGGCTAATCGGTTTCATTCTTGGCCAGCTTCCTCCACTAATCAAGTCTTTTTCCGACCCCAGGGTCTGTCCCTGAAGGAATAGTGTCATCCGGCAGCCTGGTCAGTGTTTGTATTTCCCTCCACCTACTTGGGTTGTCATGGTTACTGATGATTTTGTATTTGGTGTTATCCCTATAGATTTGTATCTTCACTTATCTTTAGTTGTCTTGTATGTACACCGTGTCACTCATACACATGGTGTCAGTTGTCTAATGCCTTTTCAGAAAATTCCATTTTTTTGTTTATGTATCCACATTATAGAATATCTTAGATCACTTAAAGAGTCAATCTTTAAGCTGGGTTGAAGCAAGCAGGTCCAAAACCACACCTCTTGTTTTGCTGATTTGTGGTGTTTCAAAACAGTTTGCCTCCTCCAGGCTATAGCTCCTGGAACGCCCCTGACCTCATTGTTACGGGTATCTTATTTTCTTCCCATCCGTGCTACTTTCCAAATGCTTCCTATAGAGAACTAAGCTATTGAATTATTTCTGCCTCTGTCTGATACGTACAAAATAGCCTTTCTATTTTTCTCTTATTCTGAAACCCTCTATAGAGATCACATGCCCTATATATAGCTCCAGTATGTGGATTGTAGATGATCTATGCTTGGTAATAACACCTTTACTTCTCTCACCTTATGCAACCATAATCTGTGTGTACTTTGTACTGACTGTCATAACTAACTACACTCTCTCTCCCCAAATGGAACTTCATCAGCTATTTTGGTGAGCTGAGAGCTGGACACCCACTCTTAATCTTTCTTCTGCCGTCTGTGCAAAGAATGTGTTGGCATGAGAACCCACTTCTAATTCAACTTTATGTTGTGAACTAAAATAAAATCTTAAGGCTTCCTTGCTCCCAGTAGCTGACTACTGGACCCTCTCTTGGCCAAGGGAATCCCCTAAACTGAGTTGCCAAGCCATGAGAAAGGGGATCAGACATACTACATCATGTCTCCCTCCCTTCTTAGAGATGTTCTTTGTGACTCATTAATAAGTTTAAGGATAGGCAGGACATCTGGTAGTTTGTCCCTGATTAACAGACAACCCCCCTTTCCTTGTTTTTTCTTTATTGTTTCCCCTCCCCCTTTGTTTTTTGAGACAAGAGTCTCACTCTGCTGCCCAAGCTAGAGTGCCATGTGTGCCTAGCTCACAGCAACCTCAAAGTCCTGGGCTCAAGCAGTACTTCTGCTTCAGCCTCCTTAGTAGCTGGTACTACAGGTGCCTGCCACAACACCCAGCTTAATTTTTCTATTTTTAGTAGTGACATGTCTCTAGCTTGCTTAGGCTGGTCTCAGACTCCTGAGTTCAAGTGATCCTCCACCTTTGGGCTCCTAGAGTGTTAGATTATTGTCATGAGCCACCTCACTGAGTGAACAGACTCTTATCTTAGCATTCCTTTTTGCTTTCTCCTGGTCTACAAAGCCTAACTCTTTCAGCCAATTGTCAGCTAAAGAATCTTTAAAACCACCTATAACCTGTAAGCCCCTGGTTCGAAATGTCTCACCTTTTGGGGCCAAACCAATGTATGTTTTCCACGTATTCATTAATGACTTTACCTGTAATTCTTGTCTCCCTGAAATGTATAAAACCAAACTGTAACCCCACCACTGGGAGTTCACTTGCTCATTGCTTCTTGGGTGTGGCTCCAGGTTATGGTCCTCAAATTTGGTTCAGAATAAACCTCTTTAAATCATTTTACAGAAAATGGCTCCTTTTCCATCAACAATGTCAAAGCACTTTCCTAAATATATTTAACCAGTAGTTTAAAATTATTTCTCATCTTATTTTCAATCCTTCTTTTTCCAGTGGAAGAAACTTTTACTCTTTTCGTCCTACTTTGTATCCATTTTTTCCTGCTCCCAACAGTGCCTCACAATACAGGCAGTATAGTGCTTTGCTGTGTAAAAATGATTTCATCCCTTACCTTATGATTCTCAGCCGTGGTTCTCAGAAGTAGGTGGTATTGTTATTCCCATTTTACAGATGAGGAAACTGATGCTCAGAAAAATCGTTACTTGTGCAAGATTAGACAGAAGTTGCTCATTGACATGGATTTTTTAGATTTAAATTGCAGAGCACTATATCCTACTTAATAAGGATCTGAATGTAAAATAAGAGAGAAGCTAAGAGAACCACATCAAATTTTAAACTTTTTGCACTGTTTGGAAAGGTGAGTTCTTATTTTTCCAGTGTATTTAAGATATGAAGGGAATTTTTTTTTTTTTTTTTTTTTTTTTTGAGACAGAGCCTCAAGCTGAGCCCCTGGGTAGAGTGTCGTGGCTTCACTGCTCACAGCAACCTCCAACTCCTGGGCTCGAGTCTCCTGCATCAGCCTCCCAAGTAGCTGGGACCACAGGCACCTGCCACAAGGCCCGGCTATTTTTTGGTTGCAGCCCTTATTGTTGTTTGGTGGGCCCAGGTTGGATTCGAACCTGCCACCTTAGGTGTATGTGGCTGGCGCCTTAGCCGCTTGAGCCACAGGCGCTGAGCCTATGAAGGGGATTGATACCGGGATTCTGGAAGAAATCATTCCATGGGTTTATAGAATATAGAGAAATAGAATCCTAGAATCCAGCTTTCAAAAGAATCCAGCTTCAAAAGAATCCAAAATCCAGCTTTTTCTTTTTTTTGAGACATAGTCTCAAGCTGTTGCCCTGGGTAGAGTGCCATGGTGTCACAGCTCACAGCAACCTCAAACTCTTGGGCTTAAGGGATTCTTTTGTAGCTGGGACTATTTTTTTGTTGTTGCAGTTTTCATTGCTGTTTTAGCTGGCCTGGCTGGATTGGAACGCTCTAGCCTTGGTGTGTGTGGCTGGCACCCTACCCACTGAGCTACGGGTGCTGCCCTAGAATCCAGCTTTCTACTCTTAGCTATCTTTTTTTGAATCACTATTCTATTGAGGCATGTTTTTCTTCGTGTAGTTTGGTAAGTAGCCTTGTTTCTCTTAAGATGATGCTGCTAGCTAAGTCTGGTCCTTACCATACACATTTTAATATCACCTGAGAAAAGCACCTTCTTCGAAATTATCCATGGTAGATCTCCTTCCCGTATCAAGTAACATTCCAACTCCTTCTCTTGAGACTGACCACCTTGATTCTCTTCTTTCTCTCTTTACTTACCACCCTAGATTGTGAAGTGTAACATTTCTCAGTTAATATACTATTCACATTCAGTAATGTCTTGAAATAGGAAATGGCAACAGCAGTTATGCAATTATTTATTTATTTATTAGAGGCAGAGTTTCACTTTGTCGCCCTCAGTAGAGTGCTGTGGCGTCACAGCTCACAGCAACCTATAGTTCTTGGGCTTAGGCTATTCTCTTGCCTCAGCCTCCTGAGTAGCTGGGACTACAGGCACCTGCCACAGTGCTTGGCTATTTTTGGCCAGGGCCAGGTTTGAACCCACCACCCTTGGTATATGGAGCTGGCACCCTACTCACTGAGCCACAGGCATCGCCCAAAGAAGTTTACTTATTTTTATTTATGCAATTATTTTTTAACATTTGTAAATCCAATGTAGGCATTCCCATTTATAGGGCTGGCAATGAGTTGAACTGTACAGGCATATTCAATACTAGACAGATTTAGCTTAAGGTTAAGCTGCTCAAAGATTTGAGGTCTTGTGTTGAGAAACCATCTTTTCGAACCAAGACAAGGGGCCTTTATTGGTTTAGGAACTCTCTTACAAATCAGTTTCTGAAGAAAAAAGAAAACATAAAAAAATAAAAAAATACATATAAAATACAAAATACAATTAAAAAATACAAAAAAATCAGTTTCTGGAGAGTTACAGTGTGTCTCCATGGTTATTATAAATAAACTCCATAAGAGATTATTTTCAGGCTCAGCACCTGTGGCTCAAGTGGCTAAGGCGCCAGCCACATACACCTAAGGTGGCAGGTTTGAATCCAGCCCAGGCCCGCCAAACAACAATAATGACTGCAACCAAAAAAAAAAAAAAAAAATAGCCAGGCATTGTGGTGGGCACCTGTGATCCCAGCTACTTGGGAGGCGGAGGCAGGAGACTCGCTTGAGCCCAGGAGTTGGAGATCGCTGTGAGCTGTGATGCCATGGCACTCTACCCAGGGGGATAGCTTGAGGCTCTGTCTCAAAAAAAAAGAGATTATTTTCAAAATGTAAGACTGGAGCCACCAGTAACAGAACCATCAACTCTAGGACTGATTCTCCTTCTGTGAAATGGAGGGTGAGTGGTAAAGTTATCTGAATTGTTTAGTTAAAATATCCATCTATTTTGGGTGGTGCCTATAGCTCAGTGGGTAGGGCGCCAGCTACATACACCGAGGCTGGTGGGTTTGAACCCAGCCCAGACCAGCTAAAACAATCGTGGCAACTGCAACAACACCAAAAAAATAGCCAGGTGTTGTGGTGGACGCCTGCAGTCCCAGCTACTTGGGAGGCTGAGGCAAGAGAACTGGTTAAGCCCAAGAGTTTGAGGTTGCTGTGAGCTGTGATGCCATGGCCATCTACTTTATAAACATGATATGAATTATTTGGTAATTGCTTCCTTCTCTCCTTGGTTTCAACCATGGCCACTTAACCAACTATGGATTATCATCATGGCATGTTGAAAGAAACCCCCAGATAACACTGAGGGATGGTTTTTCTCCTCCTCTCGCAAGGTCAGGGTAGACAATTTGCACAGCAGGTTGTGGTGCCTTGATGCTACTTTTGACTTAGAGTCCTTTCTTGGCAGCTTTTGCTGAGACCACGAGGTGCTTGAGTCAGAGATAACAAGCTCCAGGGGGCCTATTAATAAGACTTGAAATAGACTGGGATAAGAAGTATCTCAAAGGTTAGATCAGCTCTGATGAAA